CTGGAAACAACAGAAAAGGGCTTGAATCAAGTGTGTGTGTGTGTGTGTGTCTGTGCCAAAAAATGTGGAAATAGAGGACAAACGCCTAAAACCAAGCTTTTGGGGGCACACTCCATTCGTTTTCATTCTTTCCTTTAGCTGCGTGTTCCGAGGAGCTCGGGCGTTCACAACTTCCGCTCGCGCCTCGCGCAGGTCCACATGAGTGCAGATTGTGTTTTCGATGGGACAGAACCTCCCTACTCCGTGGAGTCCAGAGCAAACCCGCTCAGTGAGTACGGTGCCTCAACCTGAATCAGAGGGCAAAGCACAGAAGGAATCCTGAGGTTTCTCTATTAAGTTTCCCTATGTTTCCCCAAAAATCTAGGAACCAAATGAATAATGCAAGCGCTTCTTCAAGGAAGCTTACTTGCTGTAGGTACTAGCTACCTAGCTACTACTACTACTAGCTACCTATATACTATATACCTTGCAACTACCTCCCTCTACGGCCTACTCCACCCCTTTAAACAAGCGATACTAATTTTTTATACTCGCAACAAGAAGTGCCCCACACTGTCACCCAATCTTTCGCAGGTTGGCATAAACTCCATAGCGAACAGTTGGTGCAAGCTGCATGTCCAAAAGCGGCGATTCTTCGGGTGCCATTGCTCTACGGTCCAGTCGAGTCACCATTGGACTCTGCTCCTTGCCGAAGAGAAAACAAGTAGCTTTCTTGTTACTAGTAGTAAGGCCAGGAGCCCCCAGTAGCGTCCTTGCTCCTAGTAATTAGCGATGCCCTTTGTTACTAGTAGCTTATTTAGTGAGTCAAGTCTTTTTTTAAAGCCGCCCGAGTGGCCCTGCTTCATTTGCTTGGCGCCTGCTTAATTGAGTAAGGGAGGAGTAAGCTCAGGGCGACTAGTTAGCTTCTAGTAACTGGACGCAGGATAGCTAAAGGAGGCGGAGGGGAGCTTCCTTGAAGTTATGATGTACGCTAAAGCTAGTTCTGATGACACAGCAAAACATAAAAAATGCATAAACAATGCAAAAATAATGCAAACCAATCCCGAAACAAATGCACAGAAAACGCAAAAACAAGTCACCAAAGGATGCCTTGGAATGCAAAAAAACGCAAAACAATTGTGAAAAAAACGCATTTGTCCATTAAACCAATGCAAAAAACGCACAAACAATGCAAAAAAATAAAAAAGGCAAAAAAATGCAACAACAATGCACAAAAAATGCAAAACCAATGCAATCAAAAAGCAAAACAAATGCGATCAAAAACGTTCTGGTCTTTGCCTTTGCATTTTTTTTGCTTTGTATTTGCGTTCTTTTTGTTGATTTTTTTTGCACTTTTTGTGCGTTTCCTTGAGAAAACGCAAAAACATCGCAAAACACAACGCACAAAATAACGCACAAAAAATGAAAAACTGCAACAAAATCGAACAAAAAATGAAAACCACATGCAAAAAAATCGAACAAACAAAAGTGGTGTGTGAAATTTGGTTGTGCATGTGCATTTTTTTTTTTGCATCTTTTTTATTTTTTTTGAACTGCTGTTCTGCTTTTTTTTGGCTTTTTTTCTGGCTTCCTTTTGCATTTTTTTTTGCTTTTTGATATGCACTCTTTTTGACCAGCTGCCTTTTTTTAGCTTTTTTTATGCATTTCTTTTGCATTTCCTGGTCATCCTTTGTGAGTGTGGTTTTGCAATTTTTTTTTTTTTTTTTTAAATGAATCCTTGAGATTTCAGAGTTAGGCTGTAAGGTACATCATAACCTTGAACAAGCGCTCGCACTAATGATTTGGTTCCTAGACTTTTATATACGAAAATACAGTATTTGGGAAGTCTTGCAAAAAAACAGAACAACAAAGTGGCCCAAGAGCGTCGGGTATTGGGTGAAGCATGCTCATTCTGAGGCTGTCACTAGCCTGTACACAGATCTTCAAAATGACATTCGCAGCCTTGCTGCACTTGGGCAGTTCAAGCACGTTGTCACATGGCGGTGCAGTGACAATGTTCGAGTTTTGCTCTTCTGTATTCTTTTCATTCGCCTCCAGGTGAAGTGGACGCGTGGCAGCGCTGCTATCCAACTTGGGCAGGAGATGTAGCCAATGTCCTGAAGGTAATGACCGAGATGCATTTCTCTGGAGAGCGAATTCAAGGCATCTACCACTGGCAAGGCAAGACTTTACTGCTGCAGAGAGCATACTGGGGAAGAGAATCAGACTAGAGAGAACACGGGAGCGGGGAATTTGCAGTTTTGTTATGTTTTGTTTGCGTGTTTCCGAACTGTTTGATCGTTCAAATCTACACACCCTGCCAAGGGAATGAGCAGTTCACCTGGCATGTGCACGCCTCAATGCCTGGCATGCTTGCCATGACAGTTTAGTTCGAGTATGCATGGGACGTGTGCATATCCTTTTGGTGATTCACGCTTCCCAAGGAGATGATGTTGCTTGTTGCAGAAACATCTGGGCTGGATGCGTCCTGCATTTCTGCAGTGCACAGCCCACCTGCGACACCGCTTCCGCGTGATACCAGGCAGCTTCCTGAGACATTGCACGACTGTCACTGTTTTCGATTTTTATTCATGAGAGATTTCATCCTAGCTCTCAGAGTCAGTGAGCCTCGTAGGCATGAATGAAGTGAAGGGATGGGGTTGGATAGACAATGGCAATGGTGAGGGAGAGAAAGAGGATGAGGGAAAGGGTCGGGGGGAGGAGGAACAGGAGGACAAGACAAAGGAGGGGGATGATTCGAGTGATGATGATGATGACGACGACGACTTTTGGTAATTTCTGGTTCCAAGTTCGCAATCGCTGCTGGAGTGTTCCTCTCGGCCAACCATTGAGCACAGACACTGTCCCTCACTTGTATCAACATTTCCAGACATAATGTTGAATATCGCCAGACTTAGGCCATTCTGTCAAGGTCTTTTGCTTGATCTGTGAATGCCCTGTCGGAGGACAAAGCAGGGACCGCCCTGTTGGCTCTCACATTGAGAGAGGCCCATGCAGTATTCTTGACAGGAGCGCCGAGGAAGAATAACGATGATGATGCTGCTGATGATGAGGATGATGATAGTGACAATTGAGCAGGTGGACCCAATGCTTTTGGATCATCCAGTGTATATCAACAAGTGACACAAGAGACTCCATCATGACCAAAATGGCTGCCTCCCTGGTTTTTCAATGTGTCAACGTTCTGAGCTCTGACACCACTGTGACAACTCCATTCTTGTTTTCCCAAGGTTGGACTGCTCACGGCTCATTCGCCTTTTGGGTCCACAATGCTGCCACACTCCTTTGCATGAAGGCCTCAAGCAGTGCTTGACACCATTCCGGCAGGCACGGCACCGGCACCGGCACAGCAGCTGAGTAACCCTCCTGCATACTTGAATACATCAGCTAATTTTGTTCACCCGCCAATGATTTTACAGGTAGTGGTGTGTTTGGTTTTTCGTGACTTAAACGGTGCCCGCCATTCAATAGGTCAAACCAACAATGGAAACGGATCCCCTTTCATTTGATACGCGTTGCTTCCTCAGGAGGAATTTGTGTACAAAGCAAACCTTTTGCGCTTCAAGTAGCGCTGTGCAGCTGTAGCTTCTAAGTCGTGTTGTCACTTAACAAACGTTCTCACACACCTCAGCGCAGTGTTCGCGTTGATAGAGGCCATGGGAACCTGCCTTTGATCACCGGGTCACCAAGCACATTTTACTGTATAGTATAGACATAGTTCTAGATATATGTACAAATGTGCAACTTGTTTGAACACTTAAACAGTAGCAAATGAACACCTTTTCTAAAGGCGGTGTATAGCACCTGTGAGCATGTCATAGCCCTCAATTCATGGTCAAGTCACTGGTCAAGGGAGAAGCATGTGCGATGTGAATCAGGCTCCACCTGCGATGGCTGGCCGCATTGCGTTCAAGGGCAAACCCAGAGCAGAGTGGACAACATTGACAAGGGCAGCTGAGGCTGACATTATGACCTTTTTAAAGATGTCCCAGCACATGTGTGAAGGAGTGGAAGAAGGTTTGCCCAGATACTGGACAAGCATGTACAGTGCCACGGTCTTGGGGAGTACTCATGTACATTTGTGCCCAACCCCCGCACCTGATAGTTGGGCTTGACTCCTGCTGCGAGGCTGGTGCTCGCAAAGCGGCTCTTGGCGACTTGAAGGGGCAGAATGCAGTTCTGCAAGAAATCTTCTGGGAGGATTTCTTTCTGACAACACTTCATACCCTTCAGACGTATTCAAGATGTCAACCAGTTACAGTAACTATTAATTAATTAGTTTTCCTGTTCCTCTTGAAACGCCAGTGCATGACATCAAAGCATGGACCAATTTTGCCGGTTTGCAGGAGCTAGAACGCACCAGAGCTCGGCTTCAACAGGTGTGCAAAGAGTCCAACACAGTGCAACTTTTTTGACTCACAGCGATTCGGTTTGGAAAAGCTCAAGGCTGGTATCAATCGAAAGCGATGTGCCGAAGAGAAGGCGATGCATCAGAATGACGAAGATCGTACATTTGGATGCCAAGGAGAGCAAGCATTTCGTTATGTCAGTTGACACAGCAAAAATGCTTGCAGCATTACCACAGGACGACTTGATGAGCAAAGAGTGTGAAGAGTGAGAACATTCCAAGCCCAAAGTTTTTTCAAGTCATGAAAAATCATAGAACATCCATTTGCTGCAAATTTAGCTGTTGTTCAATGGTACAACGGTACAACGCACACACACATACACAGGCAAAGCATGTATCACTACGAGCAACAAGAACCGATGCGTACTCTCTTCCTCGCAGCCCCTATTTGTATGCCGACACACTCTAAGTGAGGGTGCTTAATTCGTCTGCAGTACGACAGAAGAAGTGCAGAAAGACAAAAGAGTTCCAACCCTGCTTTCCAGCTTGAGCGGCGTTTGGACCAACCAATGAGATAGATTAAGACAACATATTCTGGACACGTTCAATCTCTTGATCACGGCATTATCACTTTCCAGCACCCTGAAACCAGGATGTGGCCGAAGTATGGGGTTCTGCAGCTGCAGATCTAGAACGAGCACTGACCAAGGCAGACCTGCGATAATTACTGATGGCGCATATGCCTCGAAAGAACACATTTTACAACGAGCCTTTCGGCTTTCTTAAGGGCAACGGACGCTACTAGGGGCTCCTGGCCGTACTACTAGGAGCAAGCGCATCGCTACTAGGAACAAGAAAATGGACAGTGCAGCGCTGTGCATCCTTTTTGCGATTGTGCCAGGTTCGACGCGGGGAGCGGATTGTGAGGCTTTTTCAGACTGGGCCTGGTCAGGCAAGCACGATACGACGTGATTTTCGCTTGTTTGGTTTCGTTTTTTACATGTGTTTCTCGGAAAAAGTGAAGACATCAATACGGGCAGGATTCAACGTTCCAGAAAGTAATCGGCCAATTGGATCTAATTGGCCTCCCTTTGTCTCCAGGGCACTGGTGATAGTGGAGCTGCTGACTTGGCAAAGGCTGACGGCTTTGAGGATGCATGTGCCGACACTTGAGAGGGGACGTGCTCTTGTCTAAAGAAAACAAACAGAGCAGTCCTGTGGGAGGTGTACAGTATAGTATAGTATAGTATAGAATAGTATATATAGTTATATAAGTCCGAGCCTAAGGTGAGCATACTGGCATTGATGTCAGGCCTTGGTGGACTGTCATGGGCAGCCCAAAGGCAACGGTCAGGTCCTCGAGGCAGCGTTTGATCCAAAGATAGATAGATAGATATAGAGATAGAGATAGAGACAGATAGATAGAGATATCAGATAGATAGAGAGAGATATAGATAGATAGATAGATAGATAGATAGATAACATTTATTAAGAAAAGAAACGTGAAAGGAAGAAAGACAGGCAAAGGGACACACACACACAAAACGAATAAAAAACAAAGTCGTTCCACGTTCTGCCAAATCTTCAGGTTTGGTGGCTCTCAGGCTGCGAGGACACCAGGCCAAGTTATATGTGAAACTCTGAAACGACTGTTTGAAGCCTTTTGATGCCTTTTGACCCTTTCTACAATTGAAGCCTTTTGGGTGCCCTAAGCAAAGGCCCAACCACGCCCCAGCAGACCCGCACGCACAAGACCAAGAACCTCCCATCGAAGTGAGTAGGGTATCAAGCGAAGATAGGTTTCCGTCAGCCCTTTGACATGAAAGCTACATCTATGGATGCTTTTGCCACGGGCTCAAGGCCGGCTTCAGAGTAGATTAGACAGGTCGGTTTTGCCTGTGCTAAATTCAGCCTCTCAGCTGACGGCAGTATTGACTCAGATTGACACTGCAATGACTTGTAGTGCTCAACCTGACAAATAGAACATGCAGTCATGTGTTTAAGAAGCTCTGAGGCCTGCGCGATATGGTGGATTTTGTTTTGCCACAGGTGAGGATGCTCACGTCTCAGGGGTTTGTGCTTGGACCTTCGCTGCTTGGTAGGTCAGCAGCTACATTGATGGCTGGGGACCGCCGCCACAGGGAGAGTTAGAAACACCGCTAGGCATTGGTGATTTCGTCGGGACCTTAGAGCTTGGGTGTTTAACTGAATCGACAAGAGTTTGGACACTTTTCAGTCCAGACATGTTCGGGGTAAGTACTGCACTACGAACAATTGTGAAGAGCTTGCCGAAATGGTCTACTTGGATGTGTAGGATGAACTAACCAGCTTGGAGGTTGAACATTTGGAGAAGTTCCCCGTCACTCGAATTGGCCGAGTGTGCGACTTCACCGCTTCGGGGCAGCGTTACCAGGCACGAACAGGGCAGTGACAACTCAAACAGTGCAAGTCGCTGACACTTTGGCCTTTGTTGGTCGAAGGCAGAGCGGAACAAGGGAAAAGGCCTTAAGGGCACCGGCAAGGCGCAAAGTGGGAATTTCAACTTCTATGTTATTCCTTTGTGTTTTGTGATCCTTCTTCGCAACTGTGTTTTGCTGTTTGCTTGTCTTCCCTGTCACTTCCTTTGCTTTGATTGCCTTGAAACCACCGTCGTTGTTGCTAGTGCGTTGCTCGTTTATGTAGAACACATAGAAGTACAGAAGACGGCAGGTGGGACTGAGTGGCATGTTTGACGCTTGCGTGTGGCCAGGGCAAAGGCCCTATCCAAGCGCTGCAGCCTGGTTGGAGCCTCAAATCCCCAAGCCTAGGTTGTCGGTGCGGGAGCCAAACCTTTCAAATACGAAGAGAGGCACACATGAAACAAGAAGGTATAATATATATATATAGTTCTATATATATATATAAGGGTCTCTTAATAAGGCCCCTCTATGAACCTTTCCCTGTTGATGGCCAGAGTCTCTTTACTGCTCAAGCCACAAGACTTTTGCTGAAGCATGCTAAAGCTGGAATCCCTTCATCCGGTCGCTCGGAAACTTTTGGAGGGTGAGACGTGCACCTTGTCCAAGACAGTGCCACGACTTATCCGTGGAGCACGGCCAAGCACGGAGACAACAAGGATCCCTAAAGAAGTTTGCCTTTTCCGAACAGCTTTGATTTTTGATGCTCCAGTCACGATCACAAGCATTGCCCTATGGGGCTCTGTGATGGAGCTCAGAACAACCACACTGGTGCTAGAACTGAAGGGCTGCACTGCAGCTGTCCAGTTTGCTCTAGACTTGTCTGGACCACAAAGTAATTATGTTCGTTTCTTGAGTCCAATTGGACTGAGAAGCAACGAGGAGTTCGAGCTTTTCTTATGTGATGATCGGCTTCGCACAGATGCAAGCGCTAAGCTTGATCTCGCGGGGTTGGAAATCATTCATTTTCGTGCAACGGATTCAGAGACTCGGGACATTGGAAGCGATCCATTGGATCCAATGTCCGCCTGTGACCTCATTGAATTTGAGTTTGAAAGTGACTCTCAAAGCATACAAGCCAACAAGTTTGTGCTTGCTGCTCACAGTACAGTCTTTAAGCGGCAGTTCTTTGGAAAATGTGTAGAAGCAATGACTGGCAGGGTCACCGTGACCGACTTCTCCTCTGTGAGCTTCAGACTGTTCCTCTCAATGCTTGTGGACAGCCGTGTTGCCTACACCATACTGCATGCTCCAGCAGGGGCAAGTATGGTTGAAGTTTGGGCTATCGCTGATAAGTATTGTGCGAAGGATGTGCAGAGCATTGCCGAGGCTGCATTGCTTCAATCTGTCACTCCCGAGAATGTCCTGGAGATACTGCAAGCCTGTCGTAGGTATCGAAGTGCTGAGAGCCTTGGACTATCTTGGACCAAATGATCCAACTAGCTTAGGCGCCGAGTTCGCACAACCTCAAACACACTCACTGAGCTTTGGTTGTATACCAGTCAATACTCTACAATACTAGTATATCAGTAGTACAAAACTAGTAACATCTAGTATCCTTTCGTGCGCTGAAACACCACTGGCCATTTTTCGATCCATGTCTCATAGACCTGGAAGGATGCCCCAGCCGAGCTCGTAGAATTAGGATCAGTTGTGCATACTAGTCATATTCTACAAATGTGATCAGACAACCTCCATATTGTCAAGGCTAGCGCAACGACTTTGCGAACAAGTTGTATCGAGATCTTCAGAAGACGTTGGCAAGCTGTTCCAGCCTTAGTTTTGTGTTCCAGCCAAGCCCGCCTTTTGTATAGAAATGCATAGTCATAGTAGCGCTGACTCTGGATCAGCTTAGGTTCACAGACCTTGTGGCAAACGACTACATTCCCACAAAGCGACCTCGAATTGACCACAGAAACACTTGAATTCACTCGAAGGCCAGATTGAAGAAACCTGGTCTTTTCCAAGTGTAAATGTCTTGACCCAAAACGTGACTATTCGGTCGCAAGCTTTTCCATGTGGCTGGATATGCTGCGAGAACGCAGCACTCCACACATTTGAGAGCTAGTGGCCAGCTTATCGGGCACGGGTTCATTTTTCCACCAACAGCTAAAGGCTGATGGTGCCATTCCTGAACAATCCAGATTGGCGCTTCTGCACCCGAGCCGAATGCAAAAGTCGAGCAGAAGTGCGGCAATGTGCTGCTGACTCCAAGCATTGCAAAGGGACCAAGAACGGAGGACCGTTCTCCTGTTTCCAAGCTTTAGCCATTGCATGCTGTGTAAGCCTTGGTCACAATATGCCAAGGTAAAGACGAGGAGGGCTTCTCACTCGTAGACAGCCGGCCAGTACCTGGAAAGTCCACAGGGAGAGGTCGCTCCTCAGGCAGATACCAAGCAGCTCGTTTTCTTCCTTTCTTTTATTCTTTTATTGTTTAACGTTCTCTTTTTATAATTTTCCTTCAATGTAGTCTAGTAGTCCAGAGAAGAGGACGGATGATGATGACTCATCAAGTACTTTGTATACTGTAGTTGTTTCTACAGGACGGGTAGCTGATGGCCTCACTGGATAAAAGCAAGAACGCTTCTCCCAAATGCTACTACTTGCACTAGTTACTAGTTCAAGTGCCATGCAGGCATGAAGGGGAAAGGCAAAAGTTCATTGCTCAGCCTGCGAACCTTTCTGGAAGTTCAGATTACTTGTCATTTCCATGTTATTGCACTGGCACACCTGATTGTTTGTCTCAGCTGAAGGCAAGGGAATTGCTTCGAACTATCAAGAGGGTATCCTCGGACAGAAGCAGAAACCCTATTACCAGGAGTGCCGCTGTGAATGGAGTCTAGTTCAATCTCCAGCCTTTGCCAAACATGTTTTGATACTTTTTGCCGATTCGGGGGCAGCCAGGCCAATCAGAATCAAGCAAAAGGAAAAGGCAAGAAGACAACAGCTACCCGCAGAGGGATGCCTTCCTTCAAGGACCATAAACTGCGACATTACTGCTTCAGGTTTGAAGTATATATTTGACTGACCAAGCTTGCTGTACCGGGTACCGAGCTGTACCAAGCGGTAGTCCAAGCGGTCTATAGCTAGACTCGAAAGAAGCCGAAACCTTGGAGGAGTGGTCTGTGCAAACAAGGCCCGAATGGAGCCTCATGCGTGAAATTATGCTCACGTCTCTCGCTCCTTGGCTCGGTGAGCTCAGCATGGACCAGCGAGTGTTCATTGGGCTGAGGCTAAGCTTCAGATTGACGCGAAGGTGCAAAACAGATGACGACTACAGATTTGTTGTTTTGCAGAGATGTTTGATGACGTTTGACCTTTTCATGAGTTTTTTTCAAGTCGACCGCACCAGAGATTCTTCATGCTTTTTCAAGTTGCCAGTTGGTGGACTTTGAAGATGTCATTTGGGCTGGCAATTTGCCTACCTACTCGAAGGCCTCATACTCATATCATTGCCTGAAATAGCCCAACAGCTGAAAGACAGCTTTGATCGCTTTAGACAAACTTGTCCACCCATACCCCAACCGCGCTTCTCTTGCTTCTCTCCTTTTCACAAGCAGAGATGCATCGTTGAGTTGTGCAAGTTTTTCTGCAGGTGTTACATTTTTTACAATATATATATATATTTGTTTTTTAACATATTGACTGTACACAAAACCACAAAGACGACACACCTAACCATTTTGCCGTTTGTTTATTTGTCGCATTTTTTGAGGCGTTTGATCGCGTCACAGCAAAGACAGAGCGGCCACTAAAGAGATTTGAGGAGAAAACCGTGTGAGAACGCCTAAAGTCTTTGGTAGAAGCAGCGGCTAAGTCAAGTCTCAGGGATTTGTAACACCAAGACCCAAGGCAAGGCCCAATAGAAGCGATGCGGCGATGCATCTTTGAAAAGCAATATGAAGCAAGAAGAGGCAAGAAGCATAAGACACATAAGAACGTTGTATCTAACCAGGCTGGGTATGCAAACATAGTATAGATATATATGTATAGATTAGCTATAGCAGCCATAGCTAGTAGTTAGTGCATTACTAGGCCCGAGGGACCTCCCCTAACCTGAGGGCGGCGTAAGCTTCGTTGAAGAACGATTTGTATGATTGATTAGGTTCCTTGATTCATAGGATTTGTAGGGAAACCTATATGAGTGCCTTCACGTGTTTGCAG